CGGCATCGCTCTCCTCCCGAGCCCCAGGCCGCGCGTCTGGATTTGGGGACGCCCAGGCGGGGCTCGGGTTGCAGAACAGTCGCCCGGACTGCGACTGACTGCCGGCCGTGCCCTGGAAGGCGGCTCACTGGGGACCCCGACAAAGCGCGCCCATTCTGTTCTTCTCTCAGGAAAGAACAATACCAGTAAGCAGTCTGGAGAAAATCGGTGTTAAAGGAAGGAGAGAGATCCTAAGTCACACACAAACAATTCTGTTCAACCCTGCCTTCAAGTGCTCCAGAGGGTGCCTTTTCCTATCCCTCACTCAACCGTGCATTTGCTTTTATGTGTAATAGTCGTCCTGATAGCTAGTCCTTCACCACGTCAATATTATACTGGCAACAGAGACAATTACTTCCTTTCCCAGTCCAAAAAAAAAAAAAGGTTTCTTAAAAATATTTTATATTCTCATCTACTCATACAACCATGGAAGAGTGTGACAACTGTTTCTTTGTTCATAAAATATGCAGAATAAAAGTTGAGCTAGAAGGCCCTCGATCTAGCTCAGTGGCACCGCGCCTGCCTAGCAAGCACGGAGTCCTCAGTTCGACACCGGTACCACGCACACGCACACACACACGAAAAAGGAAAAAGAAAAGCTGAGGTTCTGGTGTCCCCTCACCCTGAGTCCACCAGCAGGAATGCGGAGGGGAAGCGGCCTGGCCAGGCGCAGGCTCTGCCGCCATCTTTGTTGGCGCCTGGTCTGTGGCGCGTCAGTGCTCACAGCCCCACCGCTGTGTCACAGGGCTCAGGAAAAGAATATCTAAGGGTCTGTAGGGCTTCCGGAACCAGCAACACCTGAGAAAAGCTAGGAGCAGGTTCGCAGGAACACCAATGCGGGCTTTATCTCAAACAGGGTCTGCGCAGCCCGCACGGCACACTGCCCTTGACAACCTGGAGGCGGGTTCCGCAGCTCCAGGCCTCTGATTGGCCCGAGCACTTGCCTCTGATTGGTGCGCGGCTCCAGAACGTCCAGTGAAGGGCGGGAGCTGAAACCAGAGAATCTTCTGGAAGGGTAGAGGTGGAGGTCTGGGCTTTCAACCCTCTCAATGATCTGAGCCGTGCCGGCGCGCCTTTTCTTCACAATGGCAGCAGTAACTCTGAGGTGGAGGGAGAAGGGAGGGCTCCTCTCCGGCAGGGAGCACGCTACTGGAGTGCAGTGGAGGAGAGTGGCCGCCAGCCAGGGAGGATGCCAAGGTAAGCTGTCCCAGAGCACTGTGGGGACCAGGGGGCCAAGGAGAGGGGGTGGACCCAAGCCATGGCCCAGGCCAGATGCAGGTCCACGTCTGAGGCTTCAGGGTTCTCCTCACCACACAACTCAGCGTTTGAAGCCTCGTTGGATGTTGCTTTATTGCCTATAGTAATATGACCACCCTTTGGAGTCCACTCGGGATCGGCTCCAGTATACTGGGGACACCAAACTCTGAAGAGTTTTGTGTTTCTGCAGAACTTCCTTCCTTTCACTTTAAATCGCTTTTGGATCACATGCAACACCAATGAAATGTAAATGAGGTGTTAATGATTGTATCGCTAGGGGACAATAAGAAGTTCGTAAGTGTTCCGTAGAGATGCAGTATTTAAGGACAACCTTTCCCATTGGGCCTGGTTGGTGCTGAGCATGTAGAACCCACAGATATGGAGAGCACCCTGGTTGTCAAGTCTCCACATATTTTTTTAGCATACTGTGATTTCTTTTTTCTTCTTTTCTTTTTTCTCTTTTTTTATTGTTGTTGTTAGTTGTTGTGTTGTTGTTGTTTTGTCTGGGAATCGAACTCAGGTTCTTACCTCACTGCACTTGCCAGGCAGTTGCTACACCACTGAGCTACTTCCCTCGCCCGTGTTTTTAATCTCTCTCTCTCTCTCTTTTAATCTCTCTCTCTCTCTCTCTCTCTCTCTCTCTCTCTCTCTCCCCTCTCTCTCTGCACAGACCTTTTTTATATTTTTAATTTTGAGATAGGATCTCGCTAGGCTTCCGAAGCTGGGCTTGAACTTGTGATCCTCCAGCTTCCACCTACCACAGTTTAACTCTGTCAACACTGTGCCTGTTTTACTGATAGAAGTTTTCCCAGAGATCACAAAGCCGGCAGACTAGGAACTGGGGCCCAAGCCCCAGGCGGTGAGCCTCAGCATCTCAGTCTCAGTCTCTGAGTGAGGTTGTAGACATTCATTGCTTGGTTCCTTGAGCAAATTCTTATACTCCTTACCATTACCTTTATTTTTTGAGTGTGAATGTAAATACTTACAAGGTGTTTATAATAGAAACAGACTGGAACTTGAGTGGTTTGTGAAATATCGGTATAATGTGAAGTATTCTGGTATTTTTTATTCATTTATGTTTCACATTCCAGTCAAAGGAAAAGCAAATGTGATACTCTTTTTACATCTTTGCATGTCTCTTCCTCTTTCTTGCATAGTTCAACATACTATTATTATGTAGGAGTGCAGTGTGACCTCTTCCTGCATTTTGAATGCTTTGCTCCACTTAATGGACTTGGTAGACCTGAAAGTTTTACCTAGGAAAGCCCCCTTCCCATGATGCAGTCTGGAAAAAGGTTTTTCTTTTTTAAGCTAAATGAGTCTAGCTTTCTGGGCATAAGCATGAAAGCAAAATACAAGGCAAGAATCTTCAAAGGAGAAGCTACTAGGCTTTGATTTTTCTTTCCTTGCCCAGGATGACCTGCAGGGATGCTCTGCAGAGCATTTGCAGCAGGCATCCTTCTTCCTGCCTCTCTCCATCTTCAGTACTGTACCAGAGAAGTTGAGAGCTCCAGTTCAAAGCATGGGACCTAAGTTCCCTTCCCCTACCTCGAAGTAAAAGAAAGGAAAATAAAATGCAAATGAAAAGGAGATGACCACAAGGTCCATGCTTAACTATAAGAGGTAAGGTTTGGAGATCCATCCAAAAGCAGTAAGCCTAGCTTGCTGTGTGCTTTGTGTGTGTGCTGGGTTGACCTTCAAGGTTGGGGGAGACCAAGCAGCCAACACAGCACCTGGCAGAACCACATCTCCACAGATAGCAGGGAGCAACCCCCTAAGGCAGGAGACTGGCTATGCTGGTCCTGGGATTTTCCTGAAGGTTCCAGGAGGAACACCTCTCAGGATTCCTCTCACAACCTCGGTCACCTCTTATATGTGCCAAAGAGCAAAGCCAGTCCTGGTGCTCAGTGTACTTGCACCACCGCCTCAGCAGATTTTTCTTTTAACTTCAGAGTTTTATAAAATCTCTCCCATTCCCAAAACAGTGCTTCTGAATTATGAACTTCTATACTTTTGTATATTTAAAAAAATCATCTTTTCTCCTTAACCTTTAACAAAAAATCATTATAGAGGGATCAGACACATACACTAATCTTTAAGATATAGCCCAATAATTGTTCTTGCAGTTGTATACAATAAATATATGAGTAGTATGTGATTATAATACAAAACACTTTCCCTGGGTCCCTTCTCTGGGCCATCTTCCAAGTCAGTCCTGGCACTACATAAGAGTTATTTTGTCTTTTCTCACAGTACACTGATTTTGCCTGCTCTGGCACCTTAGAAAAATACAATCAAGTACACAGTATGTTCTATTTAATGGGTTTTTCTCACTCACTACCATGCATGTTAATGTACTCATATTGCTCACGTAGCAGGTATTTTTTTTTGTTTTGTTTTGATTTTTTTGCTGCACATTGTAGTCAATTGAGTGTTTACCATCCACTATGTTTTTTTGCAAGTGGATGTGGAGTTGTTTGAAACTTTGACATATTATTAAAGAGCTGGCACGAACGTACATGTGTGTATTTTGGTGTACATATGTGCTCATTTCTCTTGGTTATCTAGCTAAAATAGAACCTCAAAAGGCTGGAATTTAGCTCAATGGTTCCGCCACCTGCCTTGCAAGTGCAAGGTCCCAAGTCTGGTTTCTGGTACCAAAAAAGACAAGAATCTCTAAGTCACCAGGAGAGTGAATTTTTTTTATAATATTATCAAGGAGATTTCCCAAGCATCCTTATCCCTGTGCCACCCATTGGCAGTGTCTGAGTTCCACACATAGCCTTGATAAAATGTATCCTTGCCATTTTTTCAAATTACAGCCATTGTGATATTTCATTCTTGTTTTAATTTCAGTAAACTCCTTTCAAATTCTTACCAACCACTGGAGTAGTGTCTTATAGGAAGGGTTGTTTAAGCTTTTGTCTGCCCTTCCAATAAGCTATACCCCAAGGTCCAGTGCTTTTTTTAAATCTTTGTCTATTTTGTCTGCCTTCTTTTATTTGTAGAAGCTCTTTGTGTATTTTCATATGAGTATTTCAGTGTATGTATGATGAATATCTTCTTTCAGTCCATTGTCAGCCCTGTGTGTTAGTTGGCTCTCCATTACTGTAACAAATATCTGAGATAAATCAATTTAAAGAGGAAGGTTGATCTTGGTCCAGTGTTGCAGTTCTATCCATGGTCCATTGGCTCATTGCTGTGGGCAGTGAGGAGGCAGC